TTGAATTTGTAGCAAATAAAGAATGTGAAAATTAATTTGCTACAATCCTTATAGTATGCAACAATAGATATTCTAATGAGTAATGCTATGTGCACTAGCCAATTTGTACTAATCCAAGTGCTAACATTGAAAATTTGAATTTTTCTTTTGGAGGGAATTTCAAATTTTCAATGTTAGTACCTAGATTAGTACACATTGGTTAGTGTACATAGTTTTATTCTATTCTAATTCATCCTGTGAGTAATTATATTTTTATTACTTATGAATTAAATAGTTATAGTCAAATATAGTGTTTATCACGCCACTAAGGTCAATAGTAAATGAAACCTTAAACCAATAGCTAACTTAAAAGGACTCTTCAACGAGTTAAGAGTATGAGCTTTTGTAAAATAAAATTGTATTTTAAAGGATCTTTAAGGTTTTTGTCTTTTTTATGATGATTTAAAATTAACACTTTATAAAATATAAGTGATTTTAGGTATGAGATAGTATAAAAATTGGTAACGTTACATATTTTTATATATGAACTTGTATGTATGTTTTAGATAATGACGATGACAGCGTTAATAAAATTATTTAAGTTATTTATACGTTTTATAAAAAGAATATTTGGTTGTATGGAAGATCAGTTTTATATAAAACTTGATGCATATATCAAAATAACCAAAATGACCATTAATATATTTATCAAAACTTGTCTCACTTCACAAAGTATTAATATGCAAAGCAAATTAATTGAATTGTATAACTATAAAACTTTATAAAATTGAAAACATAATTTATAAAATAGGGGAATTAAAAAAAGAAAATAGAAAACAAATAGATGTTAACAAACACGAGAGGGTGGAGATGCTGGTCCTAATCTTTGATATTGATCTTGAGCTGCCAAGTGAATTTCGTTTTGTCTAATCTAATGGTACGACTCTCACCTGTCCACAGTCAAATATCTCACATTTATGTTATATTTTATTTTAAACTATTAAATTAATAATATTTTATTGGGTCTAGGCGTCTAGTTGAATATGGTGAAAATTTTGTCTAATCTCACCTTCAACCTCCTGCTGCCAATCTCACATTTATGCTATATTTTATTCTAAATTATTAAATTAATAATATTTTATTTAATAATAATACTTTTTTGGGTCTAGACGGCTATTGGGATGAAATATATATATATAAACTATAGTAATTATCACTTTGGCATTTGGGCATGACTAAATCAAATATTTAGACCATTTTAATTAATAATAATTGCTTTTAAGTATTCATATAATATTTTATTTAATAATAATACTTTATTGGATCTAGACGTCTAGTGGAATTGGGGTGAAATATATATATAAACTATAGTAATTATCACTTTGGGCATAATTAAATCAAATATTTAGACCACTTTAATTAATAATAATTGCTTTTAAGTATATATATATATAATAGAAAACCTTATTTATTTAGGTTAACCTGAATCTAACCTGACCCAGGCTCAAATATTAGTAATCTAATAACAAGTCCAATTACTAATTGGACTTACTGTGAAGGACGCGTTGCCCCCTCATCCTCGCCCTCTCACCAATGAGCGGGACCGTCTCCGACTCACCAGGGAGTGAGACCCTCGAATATGCCATTAATCAATAAGTTGGGGATCAATTTGCAAGTTCATTCTATGAACGAGAAATAAAGAATTTATTACGGAGCTTAGCAATGGTATGATTTAGGTTGGTTTCATCTCCTTGTGATTTAATAAATTATTCTCAAGGTGTCAATTGTAATTAATTCAAACCATTTGTGATTTAATTCACAATTGTAAAAATTAGTTGATAATATTTTAAATTACTAGGATGAAGAATTTTATGAGTAGACAATTATTTGGTTGGAAATGACTTTATTAATGTATAACTTTTTATGTTAGAAATTTTCATATGACATCATATTATCTATTTAATATAAAAGAATTGTTATAAATTTGTAATTATTATTAAATTTGTTAATTATAGCAATATTTATATAATTAATTTTAATTGAAGCAATAAATTACAAATTTTTTATATAAATTATTTGTTCCATAGAAAATAATTATAATATTTAGTTACAAATTAAAAGTATTTATAGCAAGTTATTTCAATATTTAGCTATTAACAAACTATGTCCATAGCAACTGAATTTCACATATAGAAATGACTTCAATAAATTCATAGCAAATAATTATAATATTTAGCTACAAATCAAAAATATTCATAACAAGTAATTTCAATATTGAGTTATTAACACACTATGTTCATAGCAGTATCTTTTCATATACAAATATGACTTTCATACGTTTATAGCAAAAAAATTAATATTTAGCTATGAATTCACTATATATGTGGCAAATGATATTTTTATTTAGTTACGATTTTAGTTGTTACGTAGCCAAAAGGTTAATATATTTGCTTTGGATATTATTTTTGTAGCATAAATTTTCAAAATTTAGTTATAAATTTATATTTTTATAGCTTAAATGCAAACATAGCTATACGAACTATTCTCTGTGGCTATAAAGGCAAAGTTTTTACTACAAGCTTATTATTGTTATAGCAAAAACATTTAAGTTTTTACTTACATATTAATCTCATCTAAAGCAAAATATATAAACTGTTACCTACGTAAACAAAAAGTTACATGACTAAATTTTAGCTACGCCACTTCTAGCTACGATAAACTACAAAACATTATATTTGTAGCTAAACCATTTGATTACGTAAATTCATACTTTTAGCTACAATGAACGTCAGAATTAGAAATGCATAATGTTGTAGTGTTTATATATATATATATATAATTTTCCTGACTTAAAAATTGTACACTCTCCTACGGCAGCAATTGCAAGAGAATTATTATATTCAATAATTAATCAGGCAATGTGACTACATAAATTAAATAAGCTTACAGTATTCATATATATTATATGGACAAAATATTAATATTATGATATTCATATAGTAAGAATATAAATATATTGTTAGCTTAGCTTTTGAATCACACAAAGATTGACATTTGGAATACACATTCTTGCCAAGTCTCTTGTATCATAAATTTGATGGATTATCAAAACGGGAAGAGGCAGGCCAGGCCAAGTCTATTTCTTTTACCCTTTAGGTTTGAGTTAAGGTCAATAAAATCCCTTTTGAATTTGAAAATATTAAGATACTTCCCGTTATTTAAATTATCATTATTTTACATATTAATGTTAGGGTTTTCAAGCTTAAGCCCCTAAAGTTTAACCAAATAACAACATTTTCCTAAAGATCTTTCACCGTTTATTTTTACACCAAAACCAATGTTTTAAAACCCAACCTAGCCCAACCGGTTAAATTGGGACCAGAGGCCTTCATTGGACCGAGTTACAAATTTTAGTGTTCACAAAAACCCTAGAAATTAAGATGACAATCGACGAACAATTGAAGGCTGAGATGTTGGGGTTTTGAAGAGGAATGACCAGTGAGTGGAAAGGTGGCGACATGGGTGATTTTTGATGTGTGAAATAACTAAAAATTGCAAAAATAAATCTGTTGTTGCCGACAATTGTCAAGGTGAACAGGGGTAGAGAGAGATGGTTTGTGGTCAAGAGGCTGAAGGGAGAGTTTTCATAGTGATAGGATGTGTTATCAACGCCGTAAACAGGCCCTATTTGGCCTGGGTGTTGACATTGGTGGTAGGGGTGTTCAAAAGCGGTTAACCGAACCGGTTTTTCGATTCGGAAAAATTCCCAAATCGAAACCAAACCGGTTTGGAGGGAAAACCTGTTTTTTGGTTAACTGCTTTAAAAAAGCCGATTAATCGGTTTTGAACCTGTTTTCCCCCCTTTTTTTATAAAACTTATTTTTTTTTCCTAAATTAAATTGTAAATATAAATAATACATATCCAAATAAAAATTAAACATTCATACATATCCATTGATTACTACTAACAATACATTAAAAATATTATTATTTTTTATTTAATATATAATATATAATATTATTATTATTTATTTAATATATAATTTTTATTTTTATTTAATATATATATATAACCGGTTCAAAAAATTGGTTTCGATTGACCGCTTTTTATTTTTTCCCGAACCGTAACCGAACCCTTCTTTTGGTTAACCGGTTTTCTGAATCAGTTCGGTTTTTGCATTTTTTTTAACACCACTAATTGGCGGTGTAATAGAGGGCATTTTTGTAAGATTTCAAACTTGTAGAGATTAAATTTAATTTTTAGAGGTGTTTTTATTAGATTTTAAACTTTTTTACATTATGACATCACCAGTTTGACCCACCAATCAAACCGGTTAAACTCGAAATCCAACCACTTTGCTAGATTTCACCTTAGGTCAGGTTTTAAAACCTTGACCAAAACCACAACAGTAAAAGATTTATGTTATTATTAAAACGACAGTGGATGGTTGTTATTTAATTATAACTAAGAGCGTTATTTTTATCAAACCTGAAGTATGTTGATTATTATTCTAAATTTTTTTGCTAATCAAACAAATTAACAAATAAAGTCCAAAACTGAGAATTCAAAAAAATATCATTTATGTTTAAGACATTGCAAGGAATTTTATGATATTTACATATACAATCTTCAACTTTCTTAATAAAACATCAATTGCTATTGTCATTATATTCAAATGCTCTGATATAACTGGAAATTTTCTATTTAAAAATTAAAACAATTTCTAAGGCAAAAAGTAAAAATGTGCTGAATTGAACCATGTCACCAGCTACAAATTTACTCTAAATACAAACCATAACTTATAAGATTAGTCGACAGATGATTGGATAGAATTGGAACATCAAAAGATCTTTCACATATTCACATCTCTATATTTCTCAGTTCTCACAGCCACATAAAATGAGCTTTCGTCTCAAAAAAATCATTACCAAGCTACTTATATCGACTGCTATTGTATGTAACAGTACAAACATACTCAGGTCCATCTTCAGCTGCCTCGGCAATACAGTACAAACTTCAACATCTCTATTGCTGCTTCAATTCACACAGTAATTCTAGTATCCATATGATATTGGAAATTTTCGATTGCAGAGATCCGACTCATTAAGAGAAAGATTAAGAGGTCTATAGCACAAACATTGTCATGGATTATAATATGACCAGACCTTATTTATCTGCAAAGTCATTGGTTTCTTTCAGTTGTGGTGTCCTGAACCAAGATAAAAAATCGTTAGTAACATTATAGATTGCAAGATAAAGTTGGTAAATCTCGTATGATCCTTTCTTTATACTATATGAACCAGAAATGCTTGAATTTGAAGGTTGAAAACATAGGCAGTAATGCAGCTACCTACCCATGCACGCATAAGCCTGAGTATGAAAATTTAACTATTTTTTTTTTTCAAAATAACTACAGTTAAAATTATAAAGGAGATCACATATGTTAATTAAATTTAGACTTCATCCATCTGGCTTTGAGTAAGCCCATAAAAAGAAGTTACTAAGTTACTCATATGATCCTTTTCCAATTTATAAACAAATTCGTCATAGATATGATATACATATTTTGTTGAAAAAAATTTTAATTTTCTCCCATTCAGTCCAAAATTCATTCAAGATATAACAGCACTTTACGGAAGAAGATGACAAAGCTTTCCCATCCTTTGTAATTTGCCAAATCAGTCACAGTGGCACATCACCCTCTATACTTTGTTTTTGAAGCTATCTTTTATGATGCTAAACCATCCATACTTCTCTTTTGAGGCTATCTTTCATGACCAAATCTTCTATACTTTTTTTTTTGAGACTATCTTTAATGATGCTAAGCCTTCTAAACTTCTTTTTTGAGACTATCTTTATGATGCTAAACGGCTAAACCTTTTATATTTCTTTTTTGAGACTATCTTTTATGATACTCCAGGAAGAAATTAATTATGACAAGCTAAAGGAAAAATGTCTACAAAAGTTACAGGAAAAAGGTACTATTAATATCAGCAAGGCTCTCACTTTAAGCAGGCAGTTTCACCAGTACTTGATCTTACATCACATTAAACTTCTAGGTTGAATAACTTAATCACTAGATTGCTACACAATATTAGACTGACAACTAGCACACCATATAAACCAAAGTATGTTTAATTTGAGGTGACAATCATACAAAGTGATGCTGAAAACAGCAAAACTACTTCTTCTGGAATTCTTTTAATTCTGGGAGAAAAAAATACGTGGACCATAATAAAATTAGATAACTCTAGTTCATGAGATTATGTGGTGGATACAACATTACAATACGATATCTCTAGTTTATGGGATTCTGGGGTGGATCCAACATTACAATCATATTGTATTAGATATCTCTACTTATTCAATGCACTTTACCAACGATAAATTGGATTGTGATTATAATCCTTAAAAATATTCAATCCTATGTCTTCTCATGTATCAAACAACAGCTAAATGGTTAAGACTACATCTAACATGTGATATTTCCAAATTACTTTACTGTCGACATATTAAGCATAATTTCTTTTGTTAAAAGTCCATTAACGACTGATTTGAAAGATGTGTCATAACTTGTGTAAGATATAGAATTTATGATCTACCTTTATACTCTCGTAAGTAGTGATTCACTTATATATATAGAGGCGAGTTCAGCGCCTTTTATTTTACAAAGTTTTGACACAAGTTTGTTACCATTAGATAGGAACAAATTGTATTCCCAAGATCAAAGCTGATGTGGAATTTCTATTTTTACATGCAAAAAACAGATCCCGGCACATTGTCACAATAATAAACATAAATGTTTTCTCTCCGATATTCTCTTGCGTCTATCTATTATTCTCTCCTAACTGAGGTCATATCATAGTTATTTTATAAAAGTTTTGAAGATAATGAAATCTTGAACCTGGAATCGTATTCAGGTAAATGGTTAAACGCTTGAGTCAGCCAAAGATGGAAAAGAAGTCCTCTCTTGGGAAAAAAATTCTAGCCTACTATAATATTGACAATATTTAAAATTTTCCATCCCTTAAATCTAACAAACATTCTAAAGACCCTTTTTTCTTCTTCAAAGTTCACAATCTATTTGAAAAGTGAAGAAAGAAAAAGAATTGCACACGTTGAAATAGTAACACAATGTAACCAAAATATGTCAGTCTCATTGACGGGGCATTAAAGGTCTGAGTTGACCAGTGTTCATGCTAATTACCAAAACTAAGACTTATGTACATGACCTCACAAAGTAGTTGGTAGTAGTGATTCAACAAGAATATTAGATCTCTTTTAACCAGGCAAGTTATACAGTTGCAAAAGAATTACCATATAGAGGGCTGACTAATTCCAAGGCCATTGCAGGTAAGAATCATTCCTTTAAATCTGGCAAGATATTCCTGTATCACAATGGCATATGTCAAAGATAATCAGTAAACAGTATCAGCTAATTGTTCTTGACCATTCCTAAACAGCTAAAGAAGCATAAGTTGACAATAACAGACCTAATGGGATCATATAAGTTCTATATTTATAAAAAAAAATAAAAAAATAAAAAAATAAAATAAAAAATATGATGATCATAAAAGTTATACCCGCAAAGTATACTTATCAATCTCATAAATCCCAGTGAAATCATATTCAATGCGTTTGGCAGGATCACTCAACACTGCAGCAGAATAAATTAAGAATATGTCAAATTAGATGAGCAAAAACCATCAATTCACACTATTATATGCCTGATTCAACAAAGAGCTCCAACTAGGATGCATATTATGCTACAGTCTTCAGTTGTTCAACATAAATCCCAGTCCCAAGTACCAACCACAACCTTTTGCAGATACAATTTTTTTTCCCATTTTTTTTTTAGAAGAAAATTATTTTAGTATGTTTGCAGACCCTTGAAAAAATTGTCTTCCCTTTAATTCTTTCAACTTTCATTGTTTACTGTGTCATGCCTTTGAAGATGCTCTGAGGAAAAAAAGTTTCCACATACTAAATTCCAAGGATGATCATTGACACATCAGAAGGCAACAGGGGATTGCATGCCAAGCAAAATGCAAAATTTTGTTCTTACTATTGAATTACCTTTATAGGCTTCGTTTATCTCTTGGAATTTCTCTGTAACAGCGCTATCACCATTGTGCTTATCAGGATGCCACTTCTACAAATGGACAAAAGATCATGAAAACATCCAGTCAACTCCATTGCATCCATAGAAAGGACCATCACAATGTAGAAGTGTAGGAGCTCATCCAATCCAAAACACTAATAAGATGAGGAAGGGGATAAGGAGAGAGAGAAAGAGGAAAAGAGCCACTAACCAGTGCAAGTCTTCGGTAATTTAACCTGATCTTCTCATCAGTTGCATCATAATCAACTTCTAAAATCTTGTAAAAGTCCTGTAACAGAGTGATAATTCCTTGTCAGATATTCATCAAAGCACAGTGGTTCACTGAATGGTGAAACAAAAAACTGAAGTTGAAAGAATTTGGAAACTTAGGCTCTAAGTTCATGTCACAAGAACATGGAATGTGAATAAAGGGCTTCTAGATGTTCATCCAGGAATTAAAATTGGAAAGATCTGACTAGACTTTAGCGATAGAGTTGACCTGATGACAATTATATTAATTATATTACAAAAATAATCCTCAAATGATGCAGTATGTCAAGAGATTCAGAATTACATCTACGTGACCAATTTGGTTCTTATAATTTTAATTTCATTTCTGTCTGAGAAACTTTGTGCTATGTTAAGAGAGGACTTTGTCTCCCTTGTAACTGTCGCAATGACTCTATACACACAGTTATAAATCACCTACTTGGCCACCAGATTTCTAATTAAACATCATAGCTAAATTCATACTTTACTATGCCCTACATTTCACAAATGCATAGGTTTATTAAAAGGGGAGTAAGTCTACAGCATCTGGGTAGTAAACCAAGGTTTTGGGACAACACTATTACACAACCTGCAAAAAGATACTGGTTCTCGAACAGGGGTTCCCAAATGGAACCTACTTTTGTCCTAACACTTGATTCTAGGGAGAAGGGGAACCCTAGATGTAAGTCCACAATTGCAGTATCCTATCCTGTTTATTTCCTATCCAACGGAATTTCTGAAATTGTAAATCTACTGCGTATCATAATTATACATAAGCACAAAGTGATTGCACAGATTTCAAAAAACAAAAAGATAACAGTTCATATTGTCTCGTATAGCTATTCTTGATGTTATTGAAGGAGTTGTAAGGCATTCTTTCTACTTCAGCATATTGTCTCATATAGCCACTGCTGATGTTATAGAATTAGGCGTAAGAAAATTGCACAAATAACTAATATAGAATTAGGTGTAAAAATCAATTTGCACAGAGAAAAGATATTTTAATACATAGAGATAAAGATGAAAAAATAGCAGCATAGAGAGGCAGAAATGCACGAACAACTAGACAGAGATCTTGTACTACTTGCTTACCTAACAACATCTTCATACGGACTTCAGAACTAGAAGGAAAAAAGAACACAACTCCAGCATAAAAAGATGGTTATAAACAGTATGCTTAAATGAGAATATAAATCTCAGGCTACCATGTCCACTACAAAATGTAAATTAAGAGGCCAAAGTTGAAGAATATCCACCACCATCCCTAACACATAAAATGGGTTCAACAGTGACTACATAAATGTCAAGCTTAAAGTTCACAATGAGGTACCACCTCGACCCTAATGGTTGTGAATGAAAGATATATGTCCGAAAGGACCTTGCCAATACCATGGGAGGGAAAAGTATAAGTTGAATAGCAAATGACATATGGCGTGAAATACATTCAGTACCTGCGTACTTCAACTGGACATGACCATATCATTTCTAAAGAATGTATAAGCTAATACTGAGACAGGCTTAGATGAAAAAGATGCAAAAGCCACACTAAAAAGTTTATCCTGTTCATTGGTCATAAGGGTCAAGGGATTTGGAAAAGCCATGTTCGGTACATTTGTTTTAAGAAACCAAACTGATCCTATTACTTGCTTTCTTCTACAATTAAGTCGATACAAATTTTACTGTTGCACAAACAATTCTCTTCAACTACATTTGACAACTGCAACATTTCTTCCCAATAAGCTTGTTCTACAAAATCCATACACATGATGCAAGATTATCATTAACTTCTCCTCCATAATCTTAACTTCTCCCTTTACCGTGAGAAACATAAACAAAGAATCAACATCAAATCAAATACATGTAACTAATTGAATGAAAATTGCTTCACTTTCACTTTGAACGCTAATAAAATCTTTAACTCAAACTCCACTTTCTCATCATTCCTAAGATTTTCAGCACCCAGATGCACACAAAACCCAGAAACCTCAAAAGGGTCCAAGAAAAACTATGAATTGCAGCAAAATTACAGCTTAGTGAAGAAAAAGGAAAAAAAAGGGTCTTTAGGATAGAATTTTGGGTACCTTATTAGTGGAATTATCATTGGCTTCCATTTGGTACGGAAATGGGGTTGGGGGCGATAAACAGAGGTATATTTACAAAATACTTCATTTGATTAAAAGAACCCAGAAGTGGTTTTGGTTTCTTCGATCAGCAGATATTGTATTTTTTCTGAATTTTGAAGAAATGACAAGTTTGAAAGATATTGTGATGTTTTTGTGGTTGAATTTTTTTAGTTAAAATCAGAAGGAGATGAGCTTCAAATGCCACAACAGCGTTTGGTTTTGAGATAGACAATGTATTTATTTATTTATTTTATTGAGGGAGAGAAAGGGAGGGAATGTCATTATTTACAAAGCGCCACTGAGGTTCTATGAAATACAACAAGCCCCCAAAGTAAGGGTAATCCATAAATTCCTTCGATAATTGGGTTTGAAAGAACTTGTAATTATTAAACGCCCAAATGTTTTGTGATTTCCCAGAATTGACCCACTAGTTTGATTATTGGACCATAATCCCCATCGAATCTAAAATCGTTAATAAGATTCTGTTAACATTAGGAATGACTATTCCAGCTTTAAAACATTAAATATAGCTTGTAGATGTCGTTGGGGGCTAGATGCAGCCTCATAATGACCGCATGAGGTAATTTCTAACCTTACAACGATCACTTGAGGTTGTTTTAAGCTTTCTAACAACTACTACAAGTCAATTTTGGCCTCGTAATAACGGCTTGAGGTTGTTTCTAGTCTTATGGAAATCTCATAAGGCCAAAATTGGCCTTACAAGCCATAAAAGACTTATTTTGGCCTCTCATAACTATCACGAGAATAGAATGGCCTTATGGTGGTAAAACAAAGGTAGATCGAGACTCATCATACTTGCACGAGGCTAAATCCAACCTCATTATAGTCTTGAGAGGTTGGTCATGTTAGAGAACTTGTGGAGGGGAGATGGAAAATGGGAAAAAAGGGAGGCTCAAGGTAGAGAAAGAAAGAAAAAAGACGCGTGGAATGGGGAATTGAAAACAGAAAATAAAAGTTTTATTAAGAAATTTGAAAGGTAAAAGTATCCTTCTTACGTAGGTAAATATCAAAATTACCAATTTGATGGTTAAATTTATAGGCAAAAACTAACAAAATGAGATTATTGTTCAATTTCCACCCTAAACCATAAACTAGGGTTGTTTGTTATGAAACTAGAAAACATTTGAATGTTTACTAATTACAATTTTGCAAAACCCCTAAAAATTGGAAAGTCCAAGTTGGAATAAATTGAATCGTGCAATTTGGTTTGGGTATGTGATATTTGAAAAAAAAATCAAATAGAATTGATTTTTTTATGCACTTTTTTTTCTTTCTCTTTTCTTCCAAGAGACTAGTTATATAGATACTTTGGAGTTCTGATTAAAAGAGCCCACTTTTTGTATAATATAATTTATCATTAATTTAGAGTTAATCTATTTCCCTTTAAAGTATCACTAACTAATGTTTTCCCCCCAATGGTATATAAAATAACAATTTATCCCCAGTCATTGTTAGTATTCTCTTAAGGTCTAATTGTTTTAAATTTAATTTAATGGAATAAAGATAAATGTGTTAGTCAGGCGCCAAAAACCATAACAAAACAGTGACAACATTGGTAAATTGTTATTTCAGATAATTGAGGATATAAACTATTAGTCAATTACATTTCATGCAGAGAGTAATAATGTTGTATTGGCTTATTTTGTAAATCAAAACGTAAGTATTGTAGGTAAAACATATACATTTGTAAGTGAAGCAAAACATGAGTATGTTATAGGTAACATAAGTGTTGATGCGTGATTTGAACACCAACTAATCGACACGTGCGTAACGTTGATTGATCAAGGGACACACGTGATTATGGAGGAAATGTAGAATAAATGCAATGAGAGTTTTTTAAAGTGGTTCGGATGCTAAGGTAGCAAGTCATACGTCCACTGATTTGTATTAGTATAGTGGGTCAGGTCGCAACAGCAAACTGACTTACAAATGATTAGTAAAAGTAAATACGAAGTTTGCAAGAGAGAGAGAGTTTTTGTGTAAAATGGCTGAATCCCCTTAATGAAGGGGTCTTCCCCTTTTTATAACAAGATGAATGCATGTAATCATCATTGAATCCATGGGTTGGTGTGAATGTCAGGACATAATCCAGCTTTACGTCACATTGCCCACGTCCCAAGCTGATTTCACGCGATTTGGAGCAGGGAAATGGACACGTGGGAGCTCTATAGCGTCTGACAGGCCTAACGTGCGCTTACCGTTCTGACGGGAGCAGGTCACACTTCATCACGTGACTTCCCACGTCAGCCATTGATTTCCCAGGCATAACAGAAGTCCCCTAGTTTTTTAAGATTTGAGGATCGAACCTTGGAAACTAAGTCATGCCGCGATTGGAGGTTCTAGTAATTTCAACCTGAATGGAAGAAGCTCGGGACAGGGCCTTTTGCGAACACGACCTCGCATAATCTTCACCCAAACGACCTGACAATCATCATGCTAGCGACCTGTATTCATCGAACGTTTCTTACCGTGCCTTAGGGTTGGAGATTCAATGAGCCTGTTTCCACGCTGTCAGGCGCTCTGCACGTGTTAAAGCGTCTGGCAGGCACATTAAATGCGTTGTGTGCTGACCCGACATTGTTTTGACAGCATTAATTGCACGACACATTTGAAACGACGACCCTCATCACAATATTGAATGCGACGTGGGGCGCATTTAATGCGGAGAGAGAGAGAAGGCTATCGTTTCGATTCCAAGGGGTGGTAACCGTCGGTTCGCAGTCCATTTAAAAGCCCAAATTTTTCAGATGATGCCACCAGAATCCCTTCTACCTCGAGCGAAAAATCTTTGCAAACTGGAAGCTCTTCTTTTCCGATTGGCATCTCTCCGGCATCCAAAACAAGATCCGTCCTCGGTCACGCGCCCCAGAATGTAAGGTCCTTTTCCTTCTTCCTCTCTCTTTTTTTGTGTTTGGTTGGTGGGCAATGGCGTTGGGTCTCCTGGTGTTTCATCAGAGACGCGACGCTATCGTCGGATTCGAGCCATGGATGGCGGCTCGAGTTACTGTTAGGGTTTAAGGAATTTGTCCCATGCCGCCCCATGGGACAACATGCGATGGCTAAAATGACCTGTCTGTCGATGTTGCAAACTCTGGAATGGAACCGTTAACGTCCAGACTCGAGGAAGGAGCCAGTTCGTCTTCGCGGGACGTTCTTGCGGACGTATCCCTTGATGTCTTCTCGGTTCTCACCCGAGAAGAGTTTAATAGGATAAAAAGATAGTTCGACGTCCGCGCAGAGGTGTCCTTGACAACACCCGGTCAGCGCGGCATCCTTCCGATGGCCTAGCTGCGATCTCCGAAGAGATCTTCAAGGGTGGAGGGATGATTCCCTTCCATCCTTTCATTAGGTCGGTCCTAGATCACTTCGGGATCGTACCGATGCAGTTAACGCCAAACGTATATGTCATCGCCATCGCGATGTACATCGCGTGCTGCGAGAGTAGCTTGGGCGAGCTAACGGTGGTGAAGCTCGGCATCACCTATTATCTTAAAAAGAGTAAGGACAAGGATTCCTATTACTTGTCCCGGCGACCTACCATCGCCGAAGGGATACATAGCTATCCTAGCAACGCGGGGGCCTACGAGACAAAGTTCTTCTTTTTCTGCTATGACGGCTACTGTCGCTTTCAGAAACCAAGTAGGTTCTTCTTCACTAGTTTCATTGTCTGTTCGCTTGCTTTATTATAACGACCTGCCTTCTTTTGCAGTTAACAAGACGACCAGCCAAGACCTGCTCGCTGACCGGGACAGGCTCGTGTCTTTTGGAGTCCTTCCCAAGGAAAGTCGGGACGCGAGGAAGCTCGTGACGACCACGAACTTGCGGAAGTACGGTTTCATTAGTAACAATGCGTCTTTGGAGCCCCCAAAAGGTAAGTTACACTGATTCCCTTCTGGTCGCAGAATAACTTGTCTAGTTACTAATGTACTTGCATGCAGCAACCATGCCTCCAAAAGAGTCCGAGCAGCCCCGGCGAGCACCATTCATCCTCCCTCGATCAAGGAGAGAAAGGGCGGCCGAAGCTGCTCGCCCCATGATGGCACAACCGGGGTGAATAACCGTGCCTTCCCAGCCGCAGCCTGAGCAAGAGATGACCAGGACAGAACAAGTCGCCCAGCCACCACCTGCTCGCCGGAGGCGGAAGGCTCCGGCCCAGAGGTCGAAGAAGAGGAAGCAGATTCAGGTCGACGAGTCAGAGACCGAATCTGAGGAAGAGCCCTTAAGGTTGCGACAGGACTCAAGTAGGAGGTCGGGCAAGGAACCCGCGGACAAGGCAATTGCTGCCGACAAGGCGAAGGATGCACCAGTACTGGACTCGTTAGGGAGCCTGCCCGAATACCTGCAGCCGATAGTCTATTCTCTGCTCGAGGGTGGGCTATCGGAGTCATATGATGAGTTCGCCGATACGGGCGATGACCTAATGACCACATCGTTCCAGCATCTAAGCAAGGTAAACGAACTGCTCTTAAAGTTTGTCTGCTGTTTTCATTCTAATTCACTTCTTGCTCGCAGGCTTTGCTTGCGATGAGGATGTCTATGGAGAAGACTCGGCTAGGGGCCGCTAAGGGGGCAAGTGATCTAAAGGAGGAGGTCGCGAAGCTCAAACAGAGCCTGGAGACCGTCGAAGCAAAGAGAATGCAAGCATTCGAAGCAGCGAACAGGTACCTGAACCAAAAGGATGTCGCTTTGCGGACAGTGGACTTCCAAAAGGTGGAGCTTGAACGACGTGCGGAGGAAGTAAAGGAGCTTCAGAGAACAACCGCTAGGCTCTCTAAGGAGGTCAGAGAAAAAGACTAGGAGCTCCAGACGACCTCTATATAGGCTCAGCGAGTTGAACAAGAAAGGGAGGCTTCCGAAAAGGAAAGGCTAGCTCTCGAGGCCGAACTCCAGGAGAGTCGGGAAAAAATTGCTTCACTGACTGAAGAAATGCGGATCCAATCAGAGGAGATCGAGGATAAGGCTGCCGACTGGGCAATCGGGTCCATTTATACCCTGCGACCAAAGAACCCAGATCTGGATATTCTGACCTCCCAGAGGGGTGGCAAGAGACCTTGTAGGTTTTGCGGAGGAAGATGATCAAGCAGCAGCGGCCACCCAAAGATTCGACCAG